ATAGACTTGACCAGAATCCTTCTGTAACAAACGTATGGCAAAGAGCATAATCAAAGAGCACAGGAATGAAATACTTGTTACTATGAACAATAAACTAAGACTTCACTACACCACACAAGTGAAGCATTGATTAGAGAACCTAGAAAAAAAAGAAGTAACACAATCAAGCAAAAAGGAAAAACACAGAGAATTGCAAAAAGTTGGGTCCAACAACCCAAACTACACTTCATCTTTTTAGTTATGCTCTCTTGCCCTTAGAATTAAGAAGTCCACCATTTCTCCGGTATTTTCAACGTTTTATCCAGTAACACAACGTGCATTTTTCGTACGTAATAGCAGCGTTTTCTCATAACTAACAGAAAAAGCAAAAATTCTCTATGGTTGAGAAGAGAGTAAAGGGTTTGAAAGCAACATCAATTGTCAAAGCAGTACATTAACAAAGCATACCTTTTTCACAAGTGAAACTCGGCCAAAAGCCCCAACGCCAATATGTTGCAACACTTCGAACATATCCTTATTCATCTTTTGGCGTCGAAGTCGCATATATCTAAAGAATAAGACCATTGAAAATTTATAATATTAAGATTAACAGGACGAATTGCGTAACAAAAGCAATACCTGGATTCCTTCTGCTGTAGGAAATCCAACATCTTCTGCTTCATCGGTTCAGGAAGGTTCGCTGCTTCCATTTCTCGTTGCAACTACAAAATCATTAGATATACGATCAATAAAGTCACTTTTCCAGTATAGATAAACAATAAGCACAGATTTATATGCTCAGGCTTTACAATCAAGTTTATCCCACGGGTTTTAGGAGTAAATAAAGTCCTTAGCATCGTAGCAAACAGGATAATTCAAAGATTGAGAAGATTCCATCATGAAATTGCACTTAGGTGCTTACAAGAGCACATTTACACTTAGCTCAGATCCGCATTTATGAAATTAACATGAAGTATAGGTTCACCTTTGGCAAATAAAGCTTATATACTATAATTTTTAGATGAGACTTCAAAAAGCGAAGACTAGATTTTTATGGTATGATGAATACTGAATTAAATTATGGAAAGCCTTGAAGCAATCGAAAGCTATGTACCTGATGTGCTCGCTTCATTCGTTCTTTATATTGCGCTAAGAGTCGTTCCACATGTTGTTCCATGAAGAAGCAAAACATTCGCGGTTTACACGGCTTTACATACTTATCATATTTTTGTTGCTTTAGCCGATTCGATATGGACTCGGGCAGGGGCGAAGTGCACCGAACCACAGGGGGTTGAGATGGTTCATTTCTGCGAAGAGAAGGTCTTCTCTAAGTATAAAGAAAATCTAAAATGAATGAGGAGCCTCACCTTGAAGAGGTGTGTTGTATGGAAACCCCATAAGTGCGTTCCAGTCGATCGTGTCTCATCGGTTGATCATTCGAAGTCGAAGGCACGACATCAGAGCCTGGATGTTTGGGGCGTAGTTCGTCCTCATAGCCAATAAAACCTCGATGAGCCATGTCCGGATCAACCATAATGTTTTGGACTCCAGTAATCTGCCCAGGTATTCCATGCACCGAAGAGATACCATCTCTTCCGGTTACATCAAGACGATATGTTCGCGTCTCGGTAGCCTGGAACACAATTTATCACTTCAAATATACAAGACCAGACAGTTCGTCATAACTTCCGAAAAAAAGCTTACAGGATTAATTGGCGACACATTGATGTTCACCATGCTCTTCAATGGAGCAGCACTGAATGTCGTTCGGATAACAGGATGTTGTTGCTGGCCATAGCGACTAAGATGCGATGGGACACCGCCTATCTGTACGTGAGACGTTGACTGTCCCATCGGGGCCGAAATTGACGTGTCCAGTGGGTTTTTGTAGCTATCTCTCACCACATAGTGCTGTTTTACCATACCAACTGGCCTGAAATAGGAAGGTTTAAGGAACTTATCCCACTGAAAACCGCGCGACCCACGAGTGAGCCACATGAGTCTGATCGCATGTGTTGCTCTTTCACAACTTTCATAAATTTTTGATTTTTAACATATGAACAGGTGATTTACCTTCCAACAAGACTAGTACATGCAGCGAGTGATGCACGGTTTTTAAAGGTTGAAATATTGCTAAAACTCCAGTTTAT